TTTAAGCTTCGTAAAAGTAGAATTCATGGCAGAGCTGTTGTGTTGGATTGCCTTACATTGTGCAGGAGTACTTAATCTAGTGGCAAATGAGTGTATCTGTGAAAATGAGGAAACGTGCCTCACATAGTATTTTAACTGAAACCTTGTTGGACTTTCCGTCAGAGCTCAAAGGCACTGGTCTATCTAGTCTGTAATCTGTAACCAATGCAGCTTCCTCTAGTTGAGTGAAGTAGGTGGGGGACACCCTCAAATAATAAATAGTCCAGTACAGAAGCACTTACCTCGAGTATGTCAAGTTTACTGATAGTAGCTTGCTGCTGGGAACCCAGAGTGTCGGATGGCCTTGGGTGTCATAGATGATCTTCAGCAGGAACTTCCTGTGGTCATCGTAAATTTTCTCTGTACGCAGCGTTCGATCATAATCCACGGACAGCAAGTTCCTGCCATTCACCTGAAGGAGTGGAGACAAACAAATAACCAATGAATAAAGAAACTCTCCTGATCATATTAATCTTTGATCAGCTGAAGCATGAGATGCTTAGTATGTGAAACTGATTATATTACATGCAGCTATGCAGAATCCCTGCTGCGCTCTCTTCAAAGACAGAACATGACTAAAAACCTAAAGCCTGTTAAAGCTCCCATGCTGCAATGTTGATGTCACCCCACAGTATGAAAGCATTAGACAGATCAAACAACACTGTTTTATTCTTGGAGCCACAGCAGTAGAGGGATTTAAATTAAGTTAAGTTTGCCCTGAAGGTGGCACTAGCATTTATCTTTCTTGGAGAATGCATGTATGGTGGAGATTTACCCGAGTCAGACTTAAGTCAGTTGAACCAGATTTGGCTGTTCAATACTAATATTCAACTATTCAACTGTTCCTTTTTTTTCACCTAGAGTTTGAGACAGAGTCAACTGAATAGTCTGCGACTGATGATTTGAATTTTCAGTTTGCACAGGGCAGCCCTAATATATGGTGCTAACCATGACTGCTTATTTTATGTTAGAAACTGTTTTATATGGTGCTAAGCTCATAGAGTGTCCAAAATGGAAAGAGCTGATCATTTGGGTGGTATGAACATGCTCAGTTCATGAAAATTTGCCCATTTGACTTTGATATGTGGAGCAAAGCTCAAGAGGTTACCAAAAGCAAAAAGAATCAAACAGCAAAATGCATGACTAGTCCTATGATCATGCCTAAAAAAAATCTGTCCCAACCCTCCATAAACCCACACAGTTCCTCTCCCAGCCCAGCCCAAACCATAACAGCAGTTTTGGGCCTGAGCCTGATTAAAAACCAGAATTTCTGCTGTAAAAAGGAAAAAAAAGAAATTAAAACATTTATTAAAAGTTTAAGTCAACTTGACTTTCAGTGTGGTAACAGACACATGATCTCCGACATGCACCTTATCCTAACAAATATTCAACACAGCCCAAAAACTGTCAAATGCCAAATATATTAAAATTGTAATCCTATAATATTTCTCCCAGTTAATGAGAGACAGGAGTCGAAATGGATTGAAAACGCCGGAAAATTGGAACAAACCTGATCTGATTTAAGCACAGGAGAATTCTGAGAAATTACAGCCCAGCCTGGCCCAATCAGGTCTGGGCAAAAAATCAAAGCTCTATACAGACCCACCAATCGACAGAGTGACAAGGAATGGAGATTGTTATTACACTGGCTCAAACCTTACTCAGTATGTTTAACTGTTCTTTCAAATTATTGGCCCACAAAATGAGATAAGAAATACAACAGTATGAATGCTTCAGGATGAAGGCTAAACAGACAAACAATAAATAAACCCAGGTGTTAAATTCATGTAAATAAGTGTCTGTTCAATTCAACATATGCGCCTCAACCAGTGAATTAAAACAAATTTCTGATCCAAGACCCATAAAACACTGTAGCATCACAGAGCCAGCCAGCCACTCTTTATTGCTTTCTAAATGACGTGCTGTTTGTTCAAACTCCAATTTACGAAGACAGATAACCCAGGTTTGGTGAAAAACTCACCTTATGGATCCTTGAAGCAAGGGGAAATACTAAGAATCAGCCAATCAGTTGTTTAACAGAACCGTTTCATTAAAGAGAGAGTCTTGCTGGAAAATGTTCAACAGTCATTTTTCTCATCTTTTTATTCAGCCACTCATTCATTCGTAAATTAGCACCAGTTGAATGCAGCGAGGTGAATAAAGAGGGCAGAGGAGGAGGATATTGGGACGGTGGCTCGCAGCCAGCTGGATGAGAAACAAAACAGGACGACAGCCAAAAGCCACGCAGAGTGTGAGCCACACCATATCAGGGGAAACAAATCATTTTGCAGATTGGCATCGCCTGTCATGTTCATAATGGATCAGAGCAAACCGTGACTTTTATTTCAATGTAATGCCAAACAGGACTCTTTGTTAGTTCTGTCTTCCCTTTGCACACAATCACTCAACCTGGACTGGAAGTACATCCACCTAACTAACCAATATGAAGACGCACTACTCGTATTTCTACAGGTGTGGTCATCAACTTTAACTCAAACCAATTTCAGAACATTCCGAGTTTTCTCACTGCATTACTGGTGGGGCTATTGCGATAACTGCAACGTTGCAGCATCACTCTACGGACAAGCCAACCACAAGGGGTGCTAAGCAACATTGCTACAAATGCCAGCAACATGATGAAGTGCTTCGCCTCTATTTTGCAAAGAGTGCCACATGTTTTTTTTTTTTTTTTTCTCCAGATCGTCAAAAGTTGAAAAATAAGCAACTTTGGGTAAAACTCTGCAGCCACTCTTCACCATCACCTTTTACCCAGCCATACTACCACAGTGGAGGAGGGGCAGGACACATACCACAAAGACCAACCGTCACATTGCTGAACAACAACAAAGGAGGAGAAATAAATAGCCTTCCCTTCATCCAGAGCAAGTACTCTACCTTGTGCATATTCTGTATCATAGCAACCACACACAACCAAAGCATTTCAGCTGAAAAAACACTGCGCCCCTTATTGCCCAAATAGCTCTTCTAAGCAAGTATTTAATTTGTTTTAAAACTGTGTTATTTTAGTTGTTTAGAAAGCAGCAATATACTTCACATTAGCCAACACTAAAGCTTATTTGGGCATCTGATCAGAATGCCTCCAGGGCACCTCACGTTCAAGGTTTTCTGGGCACGTCCAACTGGTAGGAGGCCCCGGGGCAGAGCCAGAACACACTGAAGGGATTATAGATCTCATCTGGCCTGGGAATGACTCAAGATCCCCCCAGGAGGAGCTAAAAAGCATTGCTGGGGAGAGGGACATCTCAGGAACCTTGCCCAGCCCCGGATAAGCGGATGAAAATGGATGGATGGATGAAATGAGGCTTATTTATATGGCACTAAAATCAAGATAAATTGAGTAATTTGCAAGCCCTAAGTACTGGCTCTCCTGAACTATCAAGTGATTTGCATCATAGTTTGATTGAATCCACTGTATGGCTACCATCTATACATCATTGACAAATATGACAGTGGATGTCAAATATGTCAGAAATTCATGATAAACAAATACATATAGGGACTGAAAATACCACCACCAACTGTCCCACATTCATTCATCTCATAAAACTTGCCAGCGTTGACATTCTTTGTCTGACAGTAGGTCTTTTCATTATTTCACCCAACAAGCTGCTTAAACATGCAGTTTCCCATTAGCTCGCATCTTGTGCTCAATGCACATTCCTCAGGAGGATTAGTACACCATATAAAGACAGTATAAATATTTGCATTTAGCTGAAAGGCTGGACTAAAGTTCACTGCTGTTCATCCAGCCCCACAATCACCCCATCATCATTAACGCCTTAAACTGGCATCTTGTTGCTGCTGCAGGACAGCTGGACTGTCGCTGTGTTAGTGAAGACAAATTCCCACACACACCGATCACAAACGTGTGGCTGACATGTGCAGTATACACGTTGTATTTGTGTTCACCTTTGCACGCCCATTTACAAAAACACATCCACCTGCAACTCGTTATTGCAAGCTCACAATACAAAAGTCCCCATTACCACTAGTGGACCACACATGCTGTTACATTCATTAGGGTTTATTGGACCATGCTGAGAATGGCACCACTGTGTGGATCAAACTCTCCAGAGGCCACATGACTGCAGAGTTTCCTCCTATTAAACTGGGCTAGTTAGAGAGCACTTCATGTAATATTCAAGCACTGCAGACAAATCACTGTCCCTTCCTTCTCTTCTAATAGCTTGTAAGAACAACAAACACAATGCCATAATAGACAGAAACAGAAACCCTAGTGTAAACCACATCAAGCTGCTCACAGAGGGGGACAAAATGATAGGAGTCACAGGACTCTGTGATTTGTGAGGATTGTTGCCTTATATCAAGAAGGTGCTGGATTTACATCTAATAGCCAGCTGGGGCCACTCTGTGTGCAGAGTATGTTCTCCTGCCACTGTGTGGGTTTCTCCTTGCAACTAGGACTAGGCGGTAAAGCAACATCTTATCATTTTATTATTTATCTATCATTTCTCCATATCACCCAACCCAACTGTTCAAAAACATGGAGGTTAATTTGGAGCTATCTAGGTGTGAATGTGCCAGTCTATACAATATGTGCTATCCTGCTGATAATTATAGATTTATACAATAAATATATGATTAATTAAAGTAGTCCCTATCCATGCACCAAATGGACTGAGCCATTTTCAGTTAGAGAGCACGCGTGCCAGTCTAACCCTTTCATTTTCAGTTAAAGACGGAGTATGCAGGTAAAAAAAAAAACTCTATAAAAACTCTCTCTCTCTATATATACAGAAGTATTCCTTCTCAATCATCACTTATGACCCACTCTCAGTGTGTGATGGTGTATATTTTTGCAGAGACTCTGCCCTCTGACTGCACTTTTTTATTTTCTTCTTATTGCCTGTGCTCTGGACTTTTATGGGTGTGTATTCCCACAGCGCTCAGGTGAAGCTGGGCCTTCATAAAAAGGTAGCAACCAGGTGTGAGACCAAGCAGCAGCCATACAAGAAACAAAATGTTGAAAAAATGCAAATACAGTGAGGCAATGTGCCAAACAAGAGTGAATCTGGGGTTGGCTTTCTACTTTCACTTTCACTAGTTAATAGTAACCAACAATCCTGCATAGTATACCTTTGGAGAAATGATGCCAGCATTTGTACATAGGTCACTGATCAGCAATGAGGCTTCCATGGTGTCTTTCTGTGTTTATGAAAAGCCTCAGCTGAAGAGCACTCACCCTGAGCTTCCTCCCGAAGACGATGACTTTTCCACGCGTCTGTTCCTTCCTGAACCTCCACTCCACCAGGTTTTGTCCGTTCTCTCCTGGCAGTGTCATGTTGCGTCGGGCTACAGTTGGGTTAGCAGCACCTAGAAATGGATATGACAAAGGCATGAATACCAACAATATCTTACAGTGAAGAAAAAAACAGCACTGAATCAATATGTGCTATTCACACATGTGACATCTGCTGTGTGTGTAAATGTTTAGACAGCTGTACGCTTACTTTATTTGACAACTTACTACTTTTAGGTCAGTACCTGTAAATTGAATTAAACTGTTGCTCTTTTAAGATTATTTCCAACTTTGTGTGTTCCTTGGTGCACTACCTGCACACCTTATCACAGTGCACAGCAGATCATCCCAATCATCCTAGTTTTGTAGTATGATTGAGCTCTTTTCTTTATCGTGATTAACGATTGAATATGCAAGATAATGTATTAGTGTCTCTGTAAGGTTTCGTTTACCACCATAGACATTTAATGTTTCCATCTCAAGATGGGCTTTGTATGTGTTTAAAGCTGCAGTGTAGAATTTTTGTCTCCCCCTTCTGGCAGGAAGACTAATTCCACAAACGCTGTTGATGTATGCTTATGTCTGCAGGTGAACCCACTGCATCTCCCCTGGCCCCAGGAGCACTCTTTTTGGCTTCAATCCTTCCTGTGAATGCTGACTTACCTGGAATTTTACCTGGAACTTCCACTTCAGAAACTTTTCTTGGATGATTCTTAGGATTTTCTGCTATAGCTTTCGCCATACTCCTAACTGCAAACTATGGTCCCTTCCTGCCCCTTTGCCCTGGCTGGTTGACATGAAATATATCACTTCCGATGCGCCAGCATGGGAAAGTCATCATAGGCACCAGACACCACAAGTCTAGGAAATACAGAGCTTTCCCTGGCAGCAATAAGCTTAATCAGCATTGTGTGAACTTGTTTGGCAAGGGTTTAAATGCAACAGACATTAATTTATATGTAAAAGTCAGACTCTTGCTTCGGGGAGATAAAGGGGGAATATTACTGTTTAAAATGAAAAACATGAATCTGTAATACTGCATCATTACATGTACAGATTGTTGAATAAAACTTGGTTTTAAAAAAGTCTCTCACTCCAGCTTTAAATCCCCTAATGTACACCATTTACAGCAAATCACATATCAGATCAATCTGTCGTAATTGCTGCTAATCATTTTCCAAACATGCTGTAGTGTTTTAGCTTTAGACCCTAATCAGAAAATCAGCCTGCAGAGACATGACATGTGAGTTGGTCATTAATCACTGTGAGCATGACGTCTGTATTTATTGTTGTGAAAGTTTTATTGCTGTAGTTTGGTAGGTCAGCTGCTAATGCAGGCTTGTAAATCTGAAAAGTCTGCACTATATCACTGTGCGACGATAATAAAAAAATGACATAAAGAAATGCAGGCATATTTATTATGACAGATAAATTACAGCATATGCGGCACATTCTCTATAAGCTGATTTTTTATACTGTACTATCATGGATGCAAACCAGTGGTATGTAGAAAGTAGAACGAACATGAGTCTCAAACACCATTTGGAAGTGGTCACCAACTGTGTTAAATATAAAGGATTTCCAGTAAATGTACATAGTAACACACTGGACAATCAGATCAAAGGCATCAAAATGAGATTTTTTGTGTTATGTGTATCGCAGTACAAATCAGATCCTAATGTGTCAAATCAAACTGTGAGCTGAAAACACTGTATCATTACAGCCGGACAAGCTGTGGCTTGTGCCGAGTGTCAGAGTAGAAACAACTGAAAACATGACACTGATACTCCACCATGATCCTTTTCACAAACAGACCCATCAGATGGTGTTTACCTACATAGAGTTGCGCTGGCAAAAGGCCTCTCACTGAGCATGCGACACAAAAACTCTGCACTGAAACCCATTTACATAGAGATGTGATACATAGCATACTGAGCAATTTCTAACTCATAAGCATTCACCGTGTAGATAGCCTACACCCAACGCTTCACACAAAGTGCATAATGTAGAGCAGGATAGTCATTCTACAGATGCTTTGTGATTACAACCAACCTCTGTGAGAATCATTTTGACATGAAACCTCAGATTAATCCACATTACACATTCAGGGTAATGTGCTCAAAGTGCATACCTGCCAGAATATGGGGCTCCGTCTGGTAATGTGTGTCCATCCCGTTGGCGTAGATAACCCTCAGTGAATGATCATTACCCACCTGGTAGCTGTTGCGAAGCTGATCTATATGACAGAAAGACAGAGAGACGATTACTCCGAATGATCCATGACGGTGTTTCACACTGATTCTGTGTTTGTTTTCAATGTGGCAGACTCTAACGCATTTATTCAAAAACACTGTAATAATGCTTCAGTGAACTGAGGGGAAGGTGAGCAAAGGAAAGACAATGAGAGGACAGCAAGAAAGTGCAAGTAAGGGAGGGGTTAGGGAGATAAAGGGATGAATGTAAAGAGAGAAAACAGTACAATTAATTTCCGTGGGCAGGGTTTGAACCTGCTAATGGAGCACAGAGCAGGTATTAACATCCCCCAGCCTCTTTTAATTAGGTTCCCCTTGACCTCTCGCAGGACTAATGGCTCTGTGTGTGTGTGTGTGTGTGTGTGTGTGTGTGTGTGTGTGTGTGTGTGTGGTGTGTGTGTGTGTGAGCGAGAGAGGCTTCCTTGGCCGTAGATATTTTTACTTCTTCCTCCTTCCTTCTTTCTGACACACCATCAGGTCGACAATCGGTTGATTGGTTGATTTATTTAAAAACTAATTAAAGTTTTTCCTAACAAAACTTTTGACTCAACTTTATTGATGTACATTTTCAAGGGCACATTAAAAAGGAAAAGGAAACATTTCAACATTTGATGCAACAGTAATTAAATATAAAATTAAGTAAATTAAATGTAATGATCTACAAATGTGTTTTTTCTTTACCCTCCATAGTTTCACCAGGATCCTCTTCTCTAGGCTCTATTGAATTTTAATTTACATACACAAGAGAGGAAAAACTGCAGCGCTGCTTGGCCAAATTTTTGTTATAATGAACTCATTACAAAGATATTGTAAAAAAAAATACTTCAACCACATAATGACAATTTACACATCAATACTCGTCCAATTTTATGTGAAGAGAACTTTGCTTTTCTTACATGCCTCCACGGTGAACGGAGAATCCAAAAAAGGTGAACATCCTTCATGTATTAAAGTCACTGAGGACCACGTTTATTACTGGAAAAACATATCAAAACATTTGTTTGCAAATACTCCCACAGCTCAGTGTAGTAAATCCATGTCTCATTTATCCAACCCTACGCTCAGAACTTGTCAAACACATGCATTTTTCTTAAAAATGTTAACACATCTTCCTATGGGTAGCGTGCCCTGAGCATGCCTGAGCAGGCATGTGCCTATGAGCTCGACTTCAGCATAATTCAAATGCATGCGTGTGCCCAGACTGTGTTTTAAATCTTAATGTATTAATAAAAAAAGCATATGTTTGGCAAGCACTGAGCATATGTCTTGATAAATTAGACTTGGATTATGCTGCACAAGTTGTGTGAGAGTTTGTTAATGGATGGTTTAATATAGTTTTGCTGTTGTTAAACTCAGTCCTCCATTACTTTATGCCATGAAGAAAGTTTTCTTCATGAATTCAAGATAAATTGCAGGGAGCAACTGATATACAAATGGTCATTTTGTGGGTGAAATATTGCTTTAAGACCTTTCGAATCTGGCCAAAAGGCAAATCCTGCAAACACTGACCGCTGTGTCATTTCTCCAATAATGATTGTATGTTGTGGTTTATTATTGTGGGGTGGATCTGATCCTTCACTCCCACCCATCCACATCAATTTCCCAGCACAAAAGAAAGGCTTTGTACAATATGTTATAAAGCGGGAAGAGTTAGCACACACAGCATACAGCCGGCCCTTGATAATGTATTGGCACAAACATTTGCTGTATTTTTCCTCGAAGAACATCACTGCCAAGCCCTGCATTACCAACATGTTCGCCCGGTTTCACAAAGCAATCAACAACAACAACATCAAAATGACAAAACACAGCAGCTATATTAGCTTGTTTACCATTTCTGGGCTGCACCTACACCTAATGTGATTTCACATTACCGAGACCACTTGCACGCTGGCACATTGTGCAGTTTAGATGATAGCGGGGAGGCGAAACGATAAATAATGTACACCAATTGATGGAGAGGAATGCTACACTTGTCGATGGCTTTGAATAACTTATTACATTCTGATCAATACTGTTCTGCTGTGAGGGAGAATCCACTCTGTTTTCCCTCACACTCTGGGAACATGTAGCTGGCTCTGAAACAAATCACTGCTGGCCACTCGAGGCCTCGCTTCAACCGGCTCATTAGTTCAGATTTAACAAGGGCATCAGTGCTAAATTATTGTTTTTGCTCGCTGTTTAGGCTGAATGTCTGACATGAAGCATGATAAGGTGGGTGAAACTAGCTTTTCCTTTTTGCACTTCCCCTCAAATCTGTGATTCTCAGAGGGGATGCATTGACAGATCAGTCCATAACTCACTTCCTCATCTGAGGTCTATTCTTAAAAGGTTCAAAATGGAGATTTCAGTTTTTCAATATTTATTATTAGCTGTAACACGAGGAGCTGCTGTGAGTTATTTTTACAATCTGCAGGAAGAACACAAACATAACAAATTTCAAAAAGACTGTATCCATTGTAGGGATATTGTACTGCATAGCACTACATTGTAGATACATTCCTGATCCTGTGTCCACAGGCAGCAATTAAATGCTGCACACGTCTGTCATAAAAGTTTTGAATCTGTACACTAACGACACATTCTTCCTTTCTTTCAGTAAGTCAATAGGTAATGGTTATGGACTAGAACAAAGGCATGTACTGCAGATGGAATTCACTTAGACCTCAACATACTCTATCAATACTGTTAACCGTAGGTCAGCACTGTACATGCAGTGTTCACATGGCACATTCACCTGAGCCAGAGGGTAATACTGTGGAAAGCAATGTGAATAAAACCTTTCACAATTTGGCTACTGGTCAGAGAAATATAGATTTAATGATTTGGAGTGTTTGCTCTGGGTAAGTGCCAGGACTGGTGGTGGTGGCTGAAGATCATGAACTACAAAGCTGAGAAATGTCTGGATTACTGGGCAGAAGCTGTTTATAAGGGTGTTAAAGGAAGACTTTCTCACAGAGTGCTTTCTGCAGGAGATTGGTCTGACTTTTTCAGCCATTTGGTGCTTTTACATGGACTGTAATACTTCATGAATAATATGAATAACAGCCCAATCAGAATAAAAATGCCTCACGTAACCACCTCAATTGAAAGAGACTGGCCCGCATGGACAGTGTGCTACATTCTTATGTGAATGCTCTGATTAATAAATGTATTATTTGATTTTGAAACAGTCTTATCTAACATCGTTGTTACAGGCTGTGCAATGTGGAGTCACTAGACACAACAACTGTCTTGTTACCAGGAGCAGTGACCTGCATTGTAATACGTTTAGGGAACACTGGTTAATGGTAAAGTCCACTGATAGTTTGCATGTGAGGTGTTGGTAGCTACAGAAAATAACCTGGGTTACACTTACATTACTTACTACTTAATTGTATCAAGAGGCAGAACCACTTCTTTTCCTTCTTTACTTTGTGTATTGAATTAATTGAATTTTCTCAATAAGGTTGAAAAAACACTCTTCTTCTGCTATATTTCTTGCAAATTATGCTGGTTTCACACTCAACACAGAAGCGTAATGAAGCACACCGATTTTCCGTGCAGTGCTGCCCACTTCCTTTCAGTGCCCATGTAAAGCATTTAGACTATTCTCACAGGACATGGCGCTGGTTGGCTTGTGATTTGCAGCAATAGTTTTGGCATCTGGTTTATTTTTTCAGCTAGCCGTGAGCAAATCTGACCAAAGAACACACTGATAATCTATGGGTGATATAAAGGATATATTAGATATGATATAAGTGATCTGATTTTGATAAATGATAAAATATACATCCAATGCTACCACATAATTGTCAGTTGTGTCAACACAGAGAGCAAAAGAAAGACAAGCAGACACACACATACACAAGCAGACAGAGACAGAGCTCTGCGTGTGATCAGAAAAGAGCAGAGGAGTACAATCTCTTGCTGACCAGCGTGGAAAATTGCACTTGTGGTGTGAACGGCCAGGTCAACTGCTGCTGGGTGGCTGCGCAATAGCTGACATATCAGGGCATTTCTGCGACCAGGGTGAGCATGGCATGAGACGCTTCACAGCTGGCAGAACTGCTTCACGCAAGTCAAAAAAGTTTTATTCTGATTAAATTCTTGGGGGCATGTAAACGCACATCTTATTGGATCACTCTATTAAGCATCCATGTAAACAATAAGGCTGGAATCTCTGATCAGAATGATTTCAATCCAACCGCAGCCATCGTCTCCTGACCCTGGTACCACTCCAAACACAGCAATGATATTGCAGGTTGTGACGATACAACCACGTCTGAATGTTTCATAAAACTCTACTGTGTAACATTTACCAGCCTCAGCACGGCAATGACTACGACTCTATCAGCTATTACTGCTGTCTCTACTGTCTTTGTAAACTATATACATTGTGTGAAACCTTTCATCTTCTTTCATGTCGTTAACAATTGATAGAAACAATGATTGATCTTCTAAAACAAGCTGGGCTTTTTCCATTGTGATTCATTTCTGTGTGAACCAAAGCCACCCGTCAGTGATTTAAAACAAAACTGCACTGTTTTGGAAAAAAGAGAAAGTTGAAATATGTTGAATAGAGCCCTGGTTTCTACAGGGACACCATCACTCAGTATGATTCACATTACAAAGGCATTTGCAAAATAAATGGTGTTACAATACACACGCTCTTGCCAACTTTCTTCTGTCTCACACACACACAGAGACACACACTTACCTTGCACCAGAGTGTAGAAGGAGTCTATTGATGACAGGTTGGTTGTGATGGAAACGTCCTCATCCCTCCCTGACGTCTCGATGTCCACGGCAACAGCTCCTGACGACATGTCGCCGTGGAGATTGGTGACCACGCCGGTGGGGAAAGTCACATTAGTCAGACGACCCTCACTGTCATAGCTACAAGGACATTGAGGTTGCAGGGAGGGAGGGATAAAGGGACATTAGTTGCCATTACTGTGATGTGCTTTATGGAACCCTGAAAAAAAATATTAATCTGCATTACACACACACACACACACACACACACGCACACACACAGAGGCTAGTTTCTTACAGCTGAATGTGCTTGAGCTGGCTCTGAGTAACAGCAATTTTAGAGGAGGTAGAGCAGAGCGCAGCTTGGAGTCGAATTCATTTAATTAGAGGAAGTCAATTTTATTACAAGTGAATTTCAACTCAGATCTTAAACTAGGTTTTCAATTACTTTAGGTCTCTTGTCAAAGGACTATTTGTTCAATGTCCACTGGTCCAACAAAAGGTTATATCTGGACATAAACTTGTAGAAACACTGAAGAAATTAAAGTGTCAATTCTGTCAATTCAGCTCGACACCTGTCACATGTTGCCCACTGATGCCACTCTGTCAGAAGTGTTTGCTCAATGCAATAAAAACCAGAGCTAATATAATTATCAGTAACTTGATCAATAAACTTGTAGATGGCTTTTGAAGTGTCAAAATCCAACAGTCCATTTATCCATCAGCACGTACAGTGTCAGTGCAAACATGTGCTCAGACATAAACACAGTAATGCTGCTCACTCATAGAAGGTGGTCCAGCCTATTTGGATGCTCTTGGTAGCCAGCAAACCGCTGTTGCCATGGTAACTAAACAAGACCAGTTCCTGACCCTGAGCCGTGAGAGTCTTAAGACCTCCGTTAGTCCCGATGGTCAGCCAGATGACCTATACACAAACAAAAACATAAACAGCCACAGGAAAACAGGATCACATGTTCAGATTCTGCCAGTATGCTCTTTCACTCATGTCAGCCATCGTCTCAGAAAACTCGAAACTTTGTGTGAGTAGTATCACTGTATTCAAAATAATGATAAAACAGAATCACTGGTCTATTAGCTGGCTGAATGCAGGTATTTTGATAATGGGACATTTAAGTTCTGCAGCATGACAAACAAGCCTTGCTCATCTCACCTGATTGTCAGGGGCGACCACACGCACAGGCATCCTGTTGGTGTCTCTACGGATACGGAGGGTGTTTCCACTGCTGTCTGTCACTGCGGTTACATCTTCCTCATTGCTGAGAGTGAGGGAACAGAGGGTGGAAAATTAGTGAGAATAAAAATAGGTAAAGTTTTATGAAAAGGAAAAAAAAATAGAGTGCAGAGACAAAATTATTTTTTAAGATGCAACAACTGAAGAGAGAAAAAACACACAAGGTAATTTCTTCCTGAAATATAAACTTGGGTTGCATTCATCCTCATTGTAAAATTGTTGTTTTGTTTGTTTTCAAAGCAAACCAACCTGTAGCTGAAGTTGTATTTATAGTCTCCAGTGACCAGAGACATGGTGAACTGGTGAGTCCCATTCCAATCAAACACATAGAGCTCCTGAGAGGCTGGAGACGCCACTTCATAGGAGCTGGGACCTGAGGCCAGAGAGCCTGAAGAAAAGCAGATGGACAGACTTGTCATTTCTTTATTATTTACTTTAGCTCCTATTATTATTTGCTTTTTTCTCTTCATCAAACTCATACAGTATCTTCCCAGCATACATTACAATTACTCATACATTGGAATACAACATATGCAGAAAAATTCTCGTCATGATTTTGTTTAGTTACTGTCTATAATGCATATGGAAAATATCTGGGGCAGTTCTGCTGTTTACACCACAGCAATCACAGCCAAAATCTTGTTTTTGGTTTTGAACCTGTCATTTAGTACTTTTCAGTTCAACAGGGACGACTGGCCGAGCAGATTTGCCTGTACAAACATCTCTAGTCCACCACACTGGGGAGAGGAGAGGCTTTTTGCCGCAGGGTGTGGAACAACATGACAGATCGCTCTGTAAAAGCTAGAAAAACAGCCATGGAAAGAGTGGCGACCTGGGGGGGAACAAAGTGGTATATAATAATTTCGACTTGGAGGTAAGCAACAGTTTTAATAATGTTACATAAATGCAATGTTTGGTGGTATGTCAGTGTTTACCACTGTTGCCAGGCTACTTACTTCTTGGTAAAGTTCTTCCAGTAACACTCATTGACTTCTTGCTTATCCTCAGAATATTTAATAGTACACAAGTGGTGTTTCGGAGCATATTGTAATAAATAGCGTGTTGAGCATAAACACTGTTGTGCTTGCTTGCAGTTGTTGTGCCATCTATGAAGGCCCCCACAAAGGTGTCTCATGCAAGTATTAACAAGGCCTCAGTGGTTGGCGTGCAGTATCCTTTCTAGCTCAAATACGAGTCCATGTAGTCCATGTTCCATGTATTGGTGTACATACAGACATCCCATAACACTACACAAGCTCTATCATAATGTGACAGCTGCAACTGTTGATGTAAAGCAATGGTGAAATGGGTCTTCAAACTATTAATACAACTTTTTTTTCTCTATTATTTTGGCCCTCCTAAGAGACGTTGAGCAACATTAGTTTGTCCACCCTGTACATATGTCTACTGTTCATACCAGTAGGTGGTTGGTTGCGTCGTATAGCTCGTATCCGGATGTTTCCCAGATCCGCCACATACAGCGTCCCATCCGGAGACACCACCAAAGAGGAAGGACAATTAAGCCTCGCGTCTTTAGCATAGCCGTCTCCTGTCTGATAGCAGTCACAGTTGGCATCGTTCTGTCGGACAGAGGGAGATAGGGAGCGGGAGAGAAGGAAGTACCAAACAAAGACAGAAAAGAAGACAGAGATAGAGAATAACAACACATGAATAATTCAACTTGGCTTATGTTATGGAGAGTAGAGTAGAGATATGGGCCCCATCAAAGATTCAACAGAAGATATTCTCATGAATTTGATGTTTTTTGTTCTAATCAAGTATTAATATATTCGTGTCGATCAGATACTACCTGCGGTCACTTTAGCACTGTCTTGTATTGTTTTGGGATTAGAGTACATTTACTCTATATGTAATCTCCTTCATGTCATTCTTTGATTGGTAACCATTCATCCTGAACTTAAGTGGTGAGCTGATGGACAAAACAGCTGTACTACTATAAATGAATCAAGATTTAGATTTGAAACTAAGATAGAAAGAAGCTGTGGTATAGTACCTTGCAGTCACAGTCAGATGGCGCTCCAGCTAGATGGGTAATTTCTCCATCTGTCGACACCTGGTGGGATGACAGCCAGAAATCGACACTTTAAAACTACAGAGACAGAAGTGTTCTTTCACAGAAAAGAAAATGACACACTAAAAGCATCTTCAGTTGACGTGTGTGTCTGCAGCTGGGGTTCAGTCAGATCAAGGACTTTTGAAACTTTCTAATTACTGACTTAGACATTCAAAGTTTTACTTGCCTGATGTGAAAATTGTTCATCTGATATTCAGGAAATTACTGAATATACCGTATTTATCCTGAAGATTACCTGTCGGATGCGGTGGATTTTCTTCTCATCAGTCTCTGCGATGTAGAGGACACCACTGTAGGACAAGGCAATAGCTGTAGCTCCCTCTAGCATGGTTTGGACCGCTCTCTTCCCCATAGTGTATTCTATACCAGGTACCTGGCAGTGCATGGGACGGCCTGCCACTATACGAACCTGAACACCAACACACATACATGGATGATGGTTATGAGTGATTAAGTAACACTGTGTGTTTTTTGTTTTGGCAAAGTGGGATGAACAATTACATTAGCTCATATGGTTTTCTTATTTTACTTGAAAAACTTACTTTAAGGAAAATCTAAAAAACAGCACAAAACAGGACATTTCGACTTCAGCTTCAACTTTATTTTGTCTCTGGAGGGCAATTAGTTCCACAGCAAGTAAGAACACACAAACAAGATATGAGAGAACACATAAGAATATAAATACTCAACAATCGGGGGGAGGTGGAGAGAACCAAATACAGTGAGCTGAAACAACAGTGGACACTGGAATAGATTCCTAAAATAAAATAAGTGTAAAACATGCAGTGCTGTCAATGTGGGTATAGACAATACCTGTCTATTTTCAGTGATCTGAAGCACAACGTTGTTGTCCAAGACGTAGATGGAGTTATCCATGGGGTTGATGGCAAGATCTGTGGGCCATTCTAAACGAACCTGGATAAAAAGACGACAGAGGAGAGAATAGAGAGTTCACTTCACATGCTGTTCTGAATGTAAAGCTCAATGAAACTATACTGTATTTTGCTAGCTGATACTATTGATTCTTATGCTGATATACAGTGTATTTCCAGGTTGAATCCTGCCAATGTTGTTTGCCCTCTAAGTTAAATGAATCTGTGAGCATTTCTGGCACAATGTCATCTACTTCTACAGTGCATGGAGAAGGGAAAGAAGTCTTAAAAAGGCTGAAAACTCAGCAACATTTGTGGTATATAGAACAACTTAATTCCAAGACCAGTGTGTTTTGGCTTGTGGCCTTCATCGTGATCATCATGAAACACAATAAATACAACATTTAAATAAGGCAGGCGTGCAGCAGGAAAAAAGAATTTAAATACAACCCATCATCTCCATTTACTCACCTATCAGTCAATGATGCAAATACAAAGCTGGGTTGAGTCACGTGGCTCAAGGTAATGGGCATTTAATCACTCAGTGATTAGGCCTAATGGAACGGTTTGATAATGACAGATGGTTTAAAAATTATGCGCCTAAAAGTTTTCATGATCTCAAGGTCTGCTGCTTCAGTAATGCGAAAACATGGTGGACTACAATTCAGAAAAAGTGTTACATGACCGAAAGTATGAAAACTTCAAATCTAATTAAATAAATCTAAATGCACTGTTTTTGTTTAATGTTTTTGACAGACTCTGTCCAGTGGTGTAGTGGTAGTTGATGAGGCGGGTGTACTGCTAGGAAGATGAGTAGGTTACTAAGGAAGTGGGTATATGCCCCTATATATATATATATATATATATATATATATATATACAGTACAGGCCAAAAGTTTGGACACACCTTCTCATTCAATGCGTTTTCTTTATTTTCATGACTATTTACATTGTAGATTCTCACTGAAGGCATCAAAACTATGAATGAACACATGTGGAGTTATGTACTTAACAAAAAAAGGTGAAATAACTGAAAACATGTTTTATATTCTAGTTTCTTCAAAATAGCCACCCTTTGCTCTGATTACTGCTTTGCACACTCTTGGCATTCTCTCCATGAGCTTCAAGAGGTAGTCACCTGAAATGGTTTTCCAACAGTCTTGAAGGAGTTCCCAGAGGTGTTTAGCACTTGTTGGCCCCTTTGCCTTCACTCTGCGGTCCAGCTCACCCCAAACCATCTCGATTGGGTTCAGGTCCGGTGACTGTGGAGGCCAGGTCATCTGCCGCAGCACTCCATCACTCTCCTTCATGGTCAAATAGCCCTTACACAGCCTGGAGGTGTGTTTGGGGTCATTGTCCTGTTGAAGAATAAATGATGGTCCAACTAATACGCAAACCGGATGGGATGGCATGTCGCTGCAGGATGCTGTGGTAGCCATGCTGGTTCAGTGTGCCTTCAATTTTGAATAAATCCCCAACAGTGTCACCAGCAAAACACCCCCACACCATCACACCTCCTCCTCCATGCTTCACAGTGGGAACCAGGCATGTGGAATCCATCCGTTCACCTTTTCTGCGTCTCACAAAGACACGGCGGTTGGAACCAAAGATCTCAAATTTGGACTCATCAGACCAAAGCACAGATTTCCACTGGTCTAATGTCCATTCCTTGTGTTTCTTGGCCCAAACAAATCTCTTCTGCTTTTTGCCTCTCCTTAGCAGTGGTTTCCTAGCAGCTATTTGACCATGAAGGCCTGATTGGCGCAGTCTCCTCTTAACAGTTGTTCTAGAGATGGGTCTGCTGCTAGAACTCTGTGTGGCATTCATCTGGTCTCTGATCTGAGCTGCTGTTAACTTGCGATTTCTGAGGCTGGTGACTCGGATGAACGTATCCTCAGAAGCAGAGGTGACTCTTGGTCTTCCTTTCCTGGGTCGGTCCTCATGTGTGCCAGTTTCGTTGTAGCGCTTGATGGTTTTTGCGACTCCACTTGGGGACACATTTAAAGTTTTTGCAATTTTCCGGACTGACTGACCTTCATTTCTTAAAGTAATGATGGCCACTCGTTTTTCTTTATTTAGCTGATTGGTTCTTGCCATAATATGAATTTTAACAGTTGTCCAATAGGGCTGTCGGCTGTGTATTAACCTGACTTCTGCACAACACAACTGATGGTCCCAACCCCATTGATAAAGCAAGAAATTCCACTAATTAACCCTGATAAGGCACACCTGTGAAGTGGAAACCATTTCAGGTGACTACCTCTTGAAGCTCATGGAGAGAATGCCAAGAGTGTGCAAAGCAGTAATCAGAGCAAAGGGTTGCTATTTTGAAGAAACTAGAATATAAAACATGTTTTCAGTTATTTCACCTTTTTTTGTTAAGTACATAACTCCACATGTTCATTCATAGTTTTGATGCCTTCAGTGAGAATCTACAATGTAAATAGTCATGAAAATAAAGAAAACGCATTGAATGAGAAGGTGTGTCCAAACTTTTGGCCTGTACTGTATATATACATATATACAATGGCATTTTGGATGATAGGTGGGTACACTGTACACAGCCAGAAAAAGAGTTACCCTGTATACCTGCGTATTGTGAGGGAAATTGTTTCTAAAGAAGTGGCGGACTCAGCATGAGGAATCAGGTCTCCTTAATGCATGCAGCATAGAGAGAAGACCCAATTGTTCTCTACCAACCTTCAGAGTGTACACACTTTTATACCATACTGAAGCTCTGATCCCAGTTTGCACCCACTGGCTCCACTTGTTCAGGAGACTGCCCCCGTAAAACAGATTTACCAATACAGGAAACGTCCCCCCCACCAAACTAAAGGTCATGCCTCAAGATGTAAGAAATTAGCCCCCAAAACAAATTCCTAAACAACTCCCACAGTGTTCCACTACACCACTGACTTTATGTTTACCTGGGCTCCCCAGTAGCTCACTGGGTAGAGCGCGTGCCATTAAGGCTGCGTCCTTACTGCAGCGGTCCGGGTTAGAGTTCAACCCGTGCTACTGCATGTCATCCCCTTTGTTTCCCCTGCCTTTCTTGTCTCTTTCTAAACAGCTGTCAAAGACAATGCAGAAATGCCCCAAAACAAACAAACAAACAAACAAACAAAACTATTACAACTGTCAAATATCAGCCAATAATATATTATATAATCCCAGTATTTACTGGTCTCTTAAATTTCCACATTTTAAACCCAGATTTTACATGCTGAAGCATTAAAACAATCCACAAGGAGTAATACAACTATGGTGTATTAGAATATCTTATTAATAGCTATATTAATGTAACAATCAATCAGCAGTGTCTCTGGCTGGCAGGTTGTACGGCAGCAAAAAAGATGCTCTCTTTAAGATGGCAACATGCTCACGCTCTCCCAATACATCAGTGGATAGCTTCTGGTTTTGTAGTTCCCCTTGGGCTATTTTTCTTTTCTAGAAATGTGTATGTGTGGGGGCATTGTGTTGTAACTGAATAAAAATCAACTGATTGGGAAAAAAAATATCTGGCTATAAAACAATATGCATTTACATTCATATCATACTAACTGTTTAGTTGTAAATATTAGCATTAATCTACAGAAAATGCTGAGAGACCTGAAAAATGTGTGGGCTGCCAGTTCACATGTTTCCACAAGTGAACTTAGGAGGTCAACTAAATAACTGCTTGAAGTCAAACTGAGCTAAATTCTGCAGAGAAGGACAAACGGTCAGAGTTCAGATAACGACTCGGCAAGAAATGCTCTTAACTACGCTGCTGTGCTCACAAAACACTGACCACAAGTCCCTTTCACACGGACACACATAAACACAGATCAAGTGTCAAGTGTTAGACCTTTAGGAAAACAGATAAAACAAGGCATTTTATGTGTGTGTGTGTGTACGTAGGTGGTGTTCCTTTCAATCTGAAGTCCATCTTGTGTTTGTAGGACTGTAGCTTCTCACTCTGAAACTAATGTGTAGTAATAAAAGGAAAGCATTCTCCCATCTCTCACTCACACTCTGTCTCACTCCCTCTTGATTTGTTTCGCCTCTGTCTGATGAGTTTCTGAAATAATATATTTATTTTTCTGATGGCACATCAGAGCTACCTATCAGCTGAACTGAATCTCAGCCACACAGCCTTGTTTTAACTACTGTGAATCACATACAAGCACAACTAATCTGCAGAAGAGATCTGAATTTACTGGAAACCTTTAGCTCTAATGCAAGTGTGACATTGTTATAGCATAGTGAGAAGTTACAGGAAGGCAGTCAGGGTGGATTGGTGCATGTAGCATATTTAAGTTATCTTCGAATGTTACCTGTCTGATGTGCATGCTGGTATCGCAGGTCAAAGGTCGTGCAGATGTCAGGTCATTGCTGCCCAGCACTGTGGAGATGATTCCATTACGATCCACTTTTCTGATCATAGTCCCGTCCACAAAGTAGATCAAACCGTTTCTATCTACTGCAATCCCTGTAAAACACAGAGGCAAAGAACACACACAAACACACTGCTCAATGTCCAGTTGTTTATTAATACATCAACTCCAGGATTCAAAGGAGAAAATAAAAGTGAGGTAATTCTCCTGTGGAGTCAGGATGCAACTACAGCAGATAATACAAAAAGACAGAGTCAATAAAAAACATAAATAAGAAAATATAGAGCCTGAGTGTATTTAAGAAAAGTCAGCCAAGATTAATATATGAATGAAAACTGTCAGATAAGATGAAAGCAGTGATGCTGCTGAGCAACCCTGAGCCATTGAAATCTGACAGGATGCAGTAAAGTCATTATCCACACATAGAGGGGACACACCCTGTTATTTCCCTGATAATCCTACATTGTGGAGAAATCTGTGTTGAAATCATGGCAACAGTTGCTTGGCATGACTTATTGTACTTAAAGTATTTCGTGTGTCTAAGAAACCATTGGATGCTGTTGTCATACTGTCGTTAATGTGTCTGTATTTTTGTTCTGGTGCTTTGCTGACACCTGCCCGTCTGCTTTTGCCGATGTCTGCAGAATGGAGGTGTTTGGAGACCTCCGGTACACATATCCTTATGTTTTTAACTTCTTAAAATGCACCCTAATTCACAAATATGTTAGACATTGCTACAAACATTCATGTCATCTTTTGTTCTCTCACTACAATGAAAACCTATTAGCATCACTGAAAAAGTATCATATAGGTGAGCAAACAAGCAGTTGTGTAAATCAATCAAAAAACACGTGGAACAATAAATTAACATCAGTTTTGAAAAATATATATGTATATCCATACTCAAATCTAGTGACTGTCCCATGCTTAAATCTCTTGATGGTAATGAAGCCCAACAAATAAACCACTGCTGAGATGCTAAATGCTTTTTATTCTTTTCAGTGTGACTCACTGAGCTTGATATAAGAAGCTCAGTAAAGCAACATACTGGTGTTACCACTCACTGATATTTCTGTGGAGCAACCTTGTATGTCTGAACAGATTCTGTAAATGAAACATTGATCGGCTTGATTTTATATTCCCCTCAAGCAGGGTAAACATTCAGAGCTCTAACAGGATACATGTGGCTGTGTGTGAAAAACTGTCATCCTACACAAAACCACAGACATCAGGGTCAACGTCTTGGAAGCAGTCCTCCCAAAGCCCAAGTGTCCCTGTGGTTTACCGTCAGCTTCTGTTTCCTTCACAAGAAGGACCAGAGCAACATGGTAACCAAAAGCGTCATCTCCTCTCATGCTTATTTAATTTAAGATGCTGTCTGTTGTTGGCTTGCGGGGATTCTGCACCTCCTGCACAGGTTTTCTTCAGGGACACTGATTGTTCTCTGCCTCAGCACATTGTCGGAGTGCTGCAGAAAGTGCTCTGCTTTTAAAGGGCAGGGGAAGAGGTGATCTGATTGTTCATGACTGAACCTACTGATAACATATCACAAATCCGACTGTCTTTTCAACTGCCCACACTGTCTACCTCTAGACACGAAAAAAAATCTCACCATTATACATTATGCATTTTGTGCCTTTATACTGTGAACCATTAATTTATGAGAAAAATTCTGACTTCATACTGAGTGGTGTCCCCTTGAACAGGAGAAGGAGCATCAAAAAGAATTTGGATCATGTCCTTTATAAACAGCTCTGAAAAATACATACTAAGTAAGGATAGACCGATACATCGGCCGGCCTATATATCGGGCCGATATTTGAGTTTTTTACTTGTATCGGCATCGGCCGATACGCGCGTGGGTTCACGGATTTATTTTTCCCTGGCATGATTTACAGACAGGCATCCACGGGCAGCTCTGTGTTGCCAGAAGACCCTGCAGTGCACATGCAGCGAATCCTACTGTGTACAGTAGTTGTTGTTTTATTTATGCTTCAGCTTAAATATTTGTTTATTTTATAAATACATTACTGGAAGATTTAAGAGCACTGAACTCTTTTTTTTATTTGAATGTATAATAATAATAATAATATTCTACCTGTTCTACCTCAACTTTCCATCTTGTTTTAGTATTTTTACTGTTCAATAAATATTTCTTATTTTAAACTTGAGACCTGTAATATTTGTTATCATTGTGTCATTTTTTTGATGTAAATTGAGGGAGCAAAAGCAGTATCGGCCCCAAATATCGGCTCAAGAAAATCGGCAGTCCATAATCGGTCATCGGCTAAAGGTGATGGAAAAAAATCGGTATCGGCATCGGCCCTAAAAAATCCATATCGGTCTATCCCTAATACTAAGCAAAATGTGTACAAATACAGGCCATGAGCTCCTTCAAAGTTAGAGATGGGACATACAGTACATAAAAAGAAATGGGCACAACGTATCCCTACACTGTAAAAATAGGAGCAAAGCCACATCCTACGATGTATGAACACACCTGATGCAGTACAACAAAGCAAATATTTATCAAGCAGCACTCTGGCAACTCCAAATGTCCTTCCTCTTTTAGTGTGCATGGGTAAACATGATGTCTATTGCAAATTTCTTTCTAATTCTGCTGACTAAAAATCAAATAGAAATATGCCAGTAAAAGATTGCCTTACCACATAATACTGCCAACATTGCCACTAGGCTAAATAAGACAGAAGACTACAACAGAATAAACATAACACTTGAGCAGTGCGTCACAATTTACTTATCATTTCTGCATCAGAAGGTTGACAATCAAAAACAATGGCAATAAGCAGATGAGATCAGGACCAACACCAACTATTCAGAAAGGCCAGTCTGTTTTAACATTTGCAAATTGCTTTGAGTGGGAATGAAAATGCACGAATGAGTCCATGAACTGTATTTAACAAGCATCTCAGAATTAGTATTAAGAATCACGTTAATTGTTTGACTGGGACTAAACATATTCCTCAAACAGGGAAGACATGAGTGTAATTTTATGAAGCAGCTTTGTGAATAAACATCAGCATTTGTTAATACTCAGAACAGTTAGATAGATGCAAGCTGGTGTAGTTGTTTTAGGATTTACATTAGATTCAACACATTAAAGGAATTTACATACTGATGATATGATTACTTAAAATGAAATAAAATGCAAAACGTGTGGTTCCAGGACAAATAATTTAAAGGCTGGGACGTTTATTGTAACAAATAAAAATGACCTACATGCCTATCAAATTCCATCTGTGCAGATTTACACTGCTGTATGATGTGCCCAGGGATGATTCTCAAAAAAAATCCTAAGCCTGAACATTTTTTTCAGGTTGAGACATGAGGAAAGGGTCGTGATCTGCCACTGGCTGCCACTGCTGGTTAGTTTTGTGTCCGACTTCATCCCGACTTGCTCTGACGTATCACAAAAGTGAACAGCGATAAAAGACAGTTTCTCTCCACTGAATGCGCCGCCTGGCTCTCACCAGATCTAACAGCTGATTGGTTTAGATGTTGACTCAACAATATGACATTTTAGATAAACTTTTAATTTTTGTTGAATTTCAGATATTTCAATTTTATTTGTCTTATTTGAAGGTTTATTCTGTGAACAGAGAACATGTTGTGTGACTGATGGTGAACCAAGCCTAACTTTGGTCTGGTTGGGAGCGAAAGCCGTAGGTTGAGAGCGAGACGTCTCCGTTTAAAGCGCTTCTACCAGAGCTCGTCTACTGTTTGTGACGCACGCATCCCGCATCAATGTTGTTTTGCCGGAAATTCGGCATGTGCCGGATTCCCATCACCCTTGTGTGCCATTTAGCCATTGCTGCTATGGCATGTATGTCAGGGGGACTATAGATTGAATGTGAACAACATTTACTGTGATATCCTACAAAAATGTAAAACAAACAACCACATCAAGGCCATGACATCAAGCTCCGGATGAGATGGAGCAGCAAATCCTAATGCTTCAGTCTGAATCACAGAAAGGGCATAGATATGTAGTAAAAGCCGGAACAGTAGATTTGATGGTGAAGAGATCCTCATTGTAAAGGGCAGATGACCCCAGAAAACCTAATTAAACTGTGCTTGCATAACCAATTATTCAGTGTTTTTTTATCCTGTGATATTGACTTACTAAAAATACGTCCTCACCCAGACATGGAGCGGTGATGTTATGCCAACATTAATACACTGACACTGACAAATGCAAGGTGGCCTCCAATTTGCATAAAATTATTTCAACCATCTTTATTGTCAGGTACATTATTTGAATGCATTTAACTCTGAGGTGCAAAAAACACAGTCACAGTTGTGAGGTACTGAAATCATCACTGTGGCAGGCTGGATTGTGTTGTTGCCAATTCAGCTGGAAATGGAAAAATTTGTGTGAATGGATGTGCGGAGTTGGTGCAGTTTTGTGAAAGGAGCAATAACACCACAGGCAAAATTAGTCATAAGAAGTTTAAACTAATGAATATCTTTGAATAACTCCTGGATACACACTCCACCTGCCAGGCTGGGCTCATGCTCATATCTTTTGCCCAGTGCCGGGGACTTCTGGCTTAAAATTCTGGCTGAAGAAGTGCGCCTTTCTAAGGATAAGGGGAAGCTGATGAGGTGCTTATATTCCTGTTTCTAAAAGTAGGAACAAATCTGTGTGTTGGCCAGTTACGACCAACTTTCAACTCTAAAAAATATGATACATACTGGCCAAGAATTGAGGTGTCAGACTTTGTGCCCTTGTGTGTGTCTGAACCATGTCTTCAGAGTCCTCTTCAGTGACGACAGTTACGAAACAGGCTTGAATAATAACCAACCAACTCGTGTGTGTGTGTGTGTGTGTGTGTGTGTGTGTGTGTGTACCTTTAGGTCCCAGTAGCTGTGCCTCTGTAGCTTTTCTTCCGTCTCCACATCGAGCTTCATCAAACGGAGGACACTGTTCACCTGTACCAGCCACTACTTCTCCATTACCTGAACACACACATCATGCATTTATCCCAACAGTTCCCTTCCTTTTTCCTTGCTACATTATAGACTGAGTCACTGTGACACCACACTAACAACAATAATCACTGCCAGGTAGCTACCTGGCAATTGATTGCAATAGAGGATATATTTAAATTTGGTAAGCTTGTCAATTTTTGTTTTCATTTTCAGCCATATTTCTAAAGTTTAAGGACACACAGTTAAACACAGTGGTCTGACCAATCCGATATTTATGCTGTGCTTATCTTATGTACTGTGTTGCTTTGCTATCGTCTTTGATAAGCCAAATCTATTGGTATGGAAGCTAAGCAATGCACTGCTGCAGACGGGGCCACAACAAAATGTAATTTAACCACCTAAAAAAAAGTGTTAGTGTACACTTCATATGAATATTTGCTCTGCGTTACCTTCCACACTAACCAATCGAGGCTGCTGTCGAGCAACTCAGTGTTCTGTCTTAATTTTTTTGTCTGGTGGCTTTGATATAACAGCTTCAACTCTTCACTGGAAAAGGCTGTCTGACTGCAAGGTAAAGTGGTGAAAATACTCTAAATATAACTTACACTTCAACTGATATTGATTTTTTTTGGTAGGCTTTTATTAGGTGGCTGAAAACTAACCAACTGAAGCAGCATTTGCACAGCGCCATTTGATTTTATATATGTGAGGTGAGGATTTTCTACCCCATAGTTATTATATACAATACAAACATTAAAATTCCGTCTAAGAATTTCAATTATAGTGGATGTGTGTGAGTACTTACTGATGAGGTCACGGGCACCGCTGAGCATCTTGGGTCGGTAGATTCGTCGAGAGTTAGTATCCGATACATACAGCTGCCCTGTTACTGGGTCGGTGGCTAAGTAGTAACGGTGAGCAGGGTTGTTGCTATGGAAGCCAGCGACAGACAGAAGGGAAGGTGGGTAAAGAACAGGACAGAAACAAAGATATTTTGGGTTTAGTCATACTGTATCTTCAATAATGTCACTACCTGTGATGTCAGTGAATAAAACCTTTGACATTTAAAGAAATACACCCAGTTTTGATCACAGCCACAGAAATGATCCATTTGTCTTTAGTGGATTGCCAGCTCCAGATCACCCTGCTCACCCTTCACTACGTGATCCAAAGTTTGACAGGAGACATGAAGATGTATATAAACTAACATCAAAGGAGACAAACTGCCTTTTTAAAATAAAGTGTATGGGTTTAACAATTTGACAAGCAGGTTAAAAGCTTACATTGAAATCACCATCAACACAGCGGATTAACAATTTGGTTCCAGCATCATTATGATGGAAATGAAGGAGACTTTCTCGAGCTGATGATAATGAAGAAGTAATGAATAAAAGGAAGGTTGATGAACTGAAAAGAACTGGTGTTAATTTACTTCCAGTGGAGTACCGGGTGGTGTGTATGTGTGAGTGTGTAAGAGAGAGAAGGAGAAGCCTTTTTTAAACAAAGATCGCACTACAGTGCCACTGCCAAGTCCCTTCTTTACACTGCCTTTGCATTTTTACACATAACATGATGGTGGCATCATGCCACACCTGTGTATAATATTAGACAACATCGCAGAATCAAAAGTGGCATGACGGGTGTGACATGTAACACAACAGCGTCAGCTTCCAGTGTGACATATAACATATGCATTGGCAGTGCTTTTTCAACAATAAAAATGGCATAACTTGGCAACAGCAATCATTTACCATCCCTGTTATATGGTGGCTGAACTTGTCCTCTGCTCGAAGGGTAAGGGGCTCCCAGACCTCATTGTTTTTCCACTTAGCGGACATTTTCAGCCGCCATTCTCCTTCTTTCAGTTAGCCGCTAACTGCTATAAGCTACTTTTTAAACCTCCAATGTCGTCAAAAAGTCACACCCGTCCTGCCCATGATCCCTTCCTGCCGGCTATCCAGTTTATACAGACATGGTTTTGGCGCTAATACTGCCTGCGTTCCTGGCTCAGAGGCAAGACAACTCAGTCCCCCAATTCTGCAATCGTACCTTTTACACAGAACTGCGAGGTGGAACAATGGAGCGATACTCCTGTATTGACCAGGCAATGTAAAATAGGCTACAGAGACACACAAGGGACATACAGAGACAGACACCTGGCCCCAAGAACCACTCAGCCTTGCTACCGTTTTTTACCAGTGGCTACTCGCAGTATTGCAGCAAAAAAAAATCCCCTGTGGCCCAAAAAGCATTTTTCCCATAGACCACTATTATAAAAGAGACGTCTGTAAAACAGTTGACAAGACACCTCAAAGTGAAAACAACGGCAATTGTGACTCTTTATATTAGAAATTTTTGATCCATGGAGGTTACATATTGGTAAACTTTTCCTCAAGCCAAGAAAAGGTTGATGTCATCACAATATAAGGTTGATGTAATCACAATGTAAAGTGTACTTTGCTTATATCCGTGTACATTTTTCCAAGTCTTTTCTCTAGAATTAAATGTAGTTGCCATATATGTAAGTAAGAAAGTAAGCAAGTGCATGTTTGTGTGTGTGTGTGTTGACAGTAGGTTGATCTGTCTGTCAGTCTGAACAAACCTGTGTGGGTGCGATGGGCCCTCCCTTGTTTGTGACACACTCTAATGATGCCTGCCACATTGTCATGTAAAATCCATCACACACACGCACACAGAGCAAGTGTCAAGTATTAGACTCAACACACGCAGGCACAGATATACACATATGCACTTGCCTCTAGCCATAAGTCTCAGTGGTTGGTGATAATCAGCAGATGATCACAGGCTGTTAATTAAGACGGCTAAAAATAGACTGTGTGTGTGAGACAGAGACAGTCTCTGTTTTTCTGCACTTCTGAGGCCCAGACGTGCTGAACAGCATGCCCTTTTGTTTTAATTTAACCTTTATTTAAACAGAAAAATCCCATTTACAGTGAAACATTTTTCCAGATTCAGGATACCACAGATAAAACCACTGTATCTGACAGACTACACAACAGTGAAAACAAATGCACAAATGGCGGAAATAAGTAAAAGAAGAGGGAGAAGTACAAGTGTAGTAAGGAGTGATGGATGAGGCAATGATTGAATGAGGAATGGATACAGAGCACAGGACAAGAGGTAGACTGAAGGAGGGAATAAATCACTGGGGGAGAGAAGGAATGGAAAAAGTGGGAAGGAAGTAAACTAAGAATCAGGAGACAAAGAAGGAAGGAATGTAAGGCTGTAAAAGGAGAGAACATGTAGCATGACGTGAATGACGAAAGGCAAGAAAAGAGGAATGAACTCAAGCGAGCGAAGAGAATGAAATAACAACAAATGAAACAGAGTCACGATGGTGTGAATAAGTAAACATGAAGGAAGGGCAGAAAGGTAGAAAAAAAGCTCAGTGACATGACGAGTCCTCCTGAGAGGAAATTGTGTTTTAATTAAAGAGTGAAATTTAATTGAAACTACATTTGGAATGGGTGAAAAAAAATAATCCAATCATTGTGTCTTGCCAGTGGCAAAGAAGCCCCAGGTATGGTTCCGCTCTGTACGTGTATGAGGAGATATAGAAGAGAACTAACTGGGTTAAGCTTCATTTTCAGAGGGGAGGGAAGAGAAAAGGAGCGGCAGCAAATCCTAATGCTTCAGCATGAATCACAGAAAGGGCACAGATATGTGGTAAAAGCTGGAACAGTAGATTTGATGGTAAACAGATTCTCATTGTAGAGGGCAGATGACCCCAGAAAACCTAATTAAACTCGGGATATACCCAAATGACTCAAGGCAACTTCATGTGTAAAGATTTTTGTTGTGCATTTTGAGTTTATGATGCAGATATTAGTGGTGGACAAGCAACAAGTGAGAATATGTTGTTTCTCCATGTTCTCCTGAATGATACAGGAAGCGTTCTCAGATGGACAGGACAGGACCTATTTTTCTCAGGGGTCGGTGCACACCAAGAGAGACGACAGTAAATACTGAAGTCACCTTCATCAGGTGGCCAAAAACAGAGTGATGTTGCACTGTGTCTGCTGGATGTGCAAAAAAACACAACAGCTTTGCTGATTTGGTGACCAAAACAACTTAGCGGGATGCAGGGGCGATTGCTCTGAGACAACAAGGGAAGCTGAACTTCCCCTAAAATTTCATGGAAGAAATGGTCAAATATGCACTATTGAATTTACATTAAAATAAGAATTTACATTGTATTAAACGTGCGCTAGGATGCGTTTCACATCATGACTATGATGTTCAAACGTCATACATACCCTGTCATACATTCTCGTGTCAGTACGGTGGACGCGGAGCCTCCAAGCATTCCTATGAGACTGCACTGAGCAGGTTTTTTCATGCAGCAAAGCGAGACGATCATTGGATAAATGCGACAGAATCGTCACTTCCAGGAAGGCTCAGCTTCCCTGGGACCTAATGGAGCGGCAGGCGGGAGAGGACGCTCGGTGTATTCATGATGATTGGAGGAATTGTCTAAAAGGCTGAACCCCTTTGTGACTTACAGCGCTTTGGAATTACACACTGGCATCGGCGAGTGGAGTCTTCGGACAGAGTGCCGTCCGGAGTTCCTTATTTCCATAAGCGATATAGCTCATTTTCACTGTTTGTACAGTACAGTTTAGGTGTTTAAACCCATCTGGAAATCTTTGAGGTGTGTTTTGCTGTGGTTCTATGGCATGAGTGCTGTGGAAAAACAGCTTCAATTAAACATTTTTTAACTTTTAATTTAATTTTTGTTTTATAAGTTACTGCCTCGTCTACAATATTACAAATTTTATGATGTAAACTTAAAGTGAGCTTCCCCTGTTTGAAAGACCAGCAGCCGCCACTGGTGATATGTCAGTGTCAACTGGCCGAAAAGAAAAAAAAAATCAGTGTATCTTTGAGTAAATGTAAAATTTAAGAAAGCTTTTAAATGATGAAGCTTTTGAAGTGGAGCAAAGTTGAACTATGTCATATACTCACTATTATTTACATCAACAACAATGTATGATTCAATATTATATAAAATACCAGTGTCTTTTGTATGTACAATCTTGATTTTGCACATTAGATTTATAATGTAGAACGCTGCAGAATGGTGCAAGCAGTTGCCTGTTTGAACTCATTGCAAATCTTTGGTCTGAACTTGGCTCTAATTAATGGAGTAGAAGTATAAAGCACAAACTGTACTGAACACAGTACTTCTTTAAATGTATGCAGTTGCTTCCCACTACTGTAAGATATCACAAAGATTTCACAGTGATCATCCACCCAGTGGCTTCTGTAATCTAGATTATGCTATAAAACGTTGAAAAGTTTGTTTTTAGATTTCTAATCTAAGTTATGTGCAATTTATCATGTTTATTTGAAACTTAAGTTTGAAAGAGTACTCTGTTGCTTCCTGAAGCTAATTGCAATCACTCTGTTTTCTGTATTAAATCTTTAAGACTATGAATCACCTTGCATGATTTTTCAAAAAAAGGACAGTGAGGTTGAGGCTAGGAGAGGGACGGATGAAGAGACTGGAATATAAAACACAGATATAAGGTAGACCAGTAACCACAGCCAACACTTTCACCCCCCAACGTCTGTCCTTGCTAGGGGCTGCTGCTGACTTCATCTGAGCTGACAACAGAAGAATAGGCTCGATTTCGTGTGAACACTTGTCAAGATTAAAGAGGGAAAGAGAATGAGACTGAGGGAGACGAAAAAGGAAAAAAAAAAGGCGAGATGAGTGGGTCTGATTTGATGGTACCAAACATCAGGGCTATTTTTCCCCTAATTCTTTGCTTCTCTCTGCCTCGTTGTGCACTGCTGAGTCATATTGCAACATCACTGATTAGTAAGCGAATGGATAATTAAATATTTCCAGATCATTTTACTTTGGTGAGTCAAATGTGACCATGACGGACAGAAATGACAGCTAAAACAACAAAAAGTAAAACTCAAGTGAATAACCCTTCAGCTAGCTGGTGTGAAGGCTGTCTGGTTCCATATCATCCATTTGTCTGACCCATTTGACAGCTCCCTTGTCCCTGCATAATACAGTCTGCAGCTTTGAGGCATTACTGGGAAGAAATTACATATGCAAAATTAGCTTGCTAACAGCTTTATCCAGATTGGTGGCTCACTGATGCTCTGTGAGCCTGGGCTAAGGACGTCAGTATATTCAGATCTGAGAAATGCCATGAATGAGAAAAAGTAATAGTTTTTATGAAAAGGAGGAGAGAAAGACGGAGGAAATGTGCAGACAAGAGTTTAATGCATAGGCAGCATAAATGGACAGTGGGATGAAAACAAGGTTAAAGGTGAAAAGGATTAGTCACTCTTACCTATGTCTGAAATCTTTGTTTCTTTAATACAGTGAAAGCAAAGGAAAGAAAACAGAAGAAATACGAGTTAGTAGACAGATTGGTCTCTGATAGATATTAGCACAAAAATCACCAGAAAAGAGAAACTGACTAGAAAACAATGACGCAACAGTTAGAAGTCAGATTTAGAAGATGAATCATGCTTCACAGAAGTCAAAAGGAAAAAGATTTCAGTTGGCTATTAGACTTGGAGTTTTTGAAAAATGAGGACTCAAGAGTGTGCCAGAAGCATGTTTCTAAATTCAGAGCACTAAACCAGTGATCTTTTATCTTTTAGCACTTTGGCTAAAGAGTAAGTACTCGAATGTTAATTACTGTGGTGGCAAAGTGTCCAATCTGGCTATGCATCTATCCCTCTCTTCTTTTATGTTTTCAAGCACTTTTCAAAGTCATCCAAAGACCAATGATGAAGAGTTGAACAGTTGAGTGCAGAAAGAAAAGATGCCCAGAAAAGCTGAGACAGAGAGATGAATTCAGATTCTGGGTTTTAATTAAAAACCAAGGACTCTCAAGTCGATCAGTTCATTTTCACAAATGTTTTAGGTCATATTTTGTTTTACTTAAATCCATCAACAGCCGTGTATTTGCAGTGACCCTGAGAAACATGGATGAAATGGCTTTGGCAAAGCTTTCCTGTTAAATGGATCATGATGTCTCTGAGTGAGACCTTCAGCTCTGTGACACTGGGAAATGTATTCTCTGGATTAGGTTCAGATTCCTGATCTGGCAACAGCAGCCATCCTCCCTTGCTCTCCTCTTACCTCAGCTCCATGACACTGGTAACATTCCCAGAGGGGAAGATCCTTCTGATGTAGTTGAAGTCTCCAACGAAGATGCTGCCATCTGCTCCGCAGGCCAGAGCCAGAGGTGCCAGCAGCTTGTTGCCCTCTGCCTGCCCATTACAGCTGGGGCAGGAGATGCTGCGGCGGCGTCCATTTCCTGGGATAAGACATCAAAATAACTTTGACTGACTGCAAGATTTGGTTTCTGCTCTTTCCACTAAGACAGACTCACCAGCTGAAAGCTTATGTCGTAATAATTGTATCCATCCAGGTTGTTAAACAATGACTGTTTACATGCATAAAATATTGTGTTGTGTGTCACCAACTGCGGTAAAAACCCCAACTGAATGAGCTGTAAACTTTTCCAAAGAATGCTCCTAAAACCCAAATAATAACGGCAAATCCCACATGTTAATCACAAAATGCTTAATTTGGAAATAGGCCTAATTCCACATATCTCAACACAATATGCTGTTTACATGACCTGTATCAAATTTGGAATAATAGTGACATATTAGTGTGCATTTAGACTCTGTCAGTGTTGTAGGCCAAGCATCTGTTTAACATTTAAGTCAAAGAAAGACGTAAAAACATGGGACAGATGCACTATCCACCATCGGAAAGACCTAGCGTTCTGTTCCCTTTAGGAATTCCAAGTAGACTTTGAGAAACTCTGAAGGCATCACGCCCAACAAGTGAAGCTCGACACTGGCAAGTAAAAAGATTCGGGAAGCGACAAAATGTGTCAGACCAGATGTAGGATTAATGCAGACAGGCACTGCAGTTTATAGGGAAACTGACTTTCCAAAATTGGAAGGAAAACAGTAATAAGCTGCAGTTTCTCTGAAAGCAGCTACACACTTCAAAGAAAACTGACTATTAAATTCAATCCAAAATTTTGTCAAAATATATAAAGCCAGTATATTTTTCCAACAGCAATGTATTGCATTGATAAACAGGTTGAGATTGCAGTCTTGGTGAGTGCATAAAGAAACTACATTGTATATATCAGTTGCAAATACCACTTACTACAAATGACCACTGTAAAACAAAATGGAACTGTGTAGTGGCACCGACAGGATTCTGTTTTACATGCACACGAACATATGGCACAACAGCACGCACATACACAGTCTACTCAGTGATCAAGTGAGAGCATGAGTAGAAGAGATTGATTCATGTTTTTTAGCACTGACATTATCGATATAACACCACAATACAGCTCTGATTAGCCTTCCTCCAGCATTTCAAACACCAGCTAACAGGACGAGGCTTTGCTTAGCTGTTGATTCAGCACCATTGATAGCTTTCCTGTCCACAGTAGACATCCAGGCAAGATGTATATGTGTGCAGGGGAACCTAGACGTTGAGGGCAGGGGGCTCTTATGCATATTAAATAGTATCTGGTGCCACTACGCAGTCTCGTTAAATTTTACAGTGTACATTTGTAGTTAGTTAACTGTGGTAAAACCTTTTGTTTATGTTGTTACATTTGGCTTAACTGTCAATGCCCTTTGTGCCGTTCACTAAGAGCTCCACTTTGCATGGCTTCCTCCCTCTTAAAACAGCCTTCTCAAGCCTTAAAGTCTATCCCGAACATATGGCAGAGATAATATCTTTACATAGTAGAAAAAAATAGTTACCTTGCCTCTCAGGGCTTCCGTAGAAAACATACTTTCACTAACTAAACCAGTTTTTTCAAGTGTTTCTGATCACTGATACAGTTTTGAAGTTGCACTCTAGCAGATAGACTCAAAGATGTGTTTTTCTGGGTCCCATAAGATTCCTGTGACTCTCACACTTAAGCCACTGGAGCAAGTAAAGCAACATTACCATCCATCATGCAATGACATGATCAACACTGATCACAAATGTGCAGGCTCAGTCGATCAATAATATCTAAATTTATATTTACCCATGATGCTGCTGATGACAGGGGGCTGCTGGGAAATGAAAATGTTCTCACCGTTGCCCTTGTACAGTATACCTGTTGGAGAGAACACATGAAGATGAGATATAAAGAGCAGTGAAGAGCAGCAGAGAGAAAATGGAGCCAGACTAATTTTACTTTGCATTAACGTCTGTGTTGTGATTGAGAGCACGGGGACGGTAGAGGTGAGATTTTATTAACACCGCTGCCATTCCAAAACCTACTAAAATATGGCACAGGTATTATCCTTTTACTAAAAATCAGATCTGGCCCTGTGATTGGATCTCTCACTGATGTGGTATCCTCACTTGTTGATTGGACTATATTGCATATTTTAAAATGAGAGTGTTGTGTTGTGGGGGGTGGATGTGTGTAAATACATGTCCTCATCTAAAGCAGCAGAACTTCGTTCATGGACTGTTATGACACCGTCTTTCTCTTTTCATTGTAAACTGTCTTTTCACTGCAGGGACAGAATATACAGCATGCACACATACTGTGGGTACGTTTGTGTTGAAACATATGACATTTTCTCTCTCTTTCACCATGCAGCTCCCGGAGGAACATACAGCATGTAAGATTAAATGGATGCTGCTGCTGTTGCTCTGTGTGTATGTTTGCTTGCGTTTCGCATTTGCGAAAAGAAAAAAACAAAATGGAAATTATCTGCATTTTAATGACGATAAAACTTTATATCTAAACTCAGATGAAAATCAGTTAAATGCATTAGAATGTATATCTTCTGTTGTACATTTATTAAACTTAAACAACTTAAACTAAGACTACTGTAAACTGACCTATGCTGAACTCTAGTGAATCGAGAAAATCAAGTGTTATGGCGGCATCTTTGGGTGACAGCTTAAAATATTTTGTTCACTAAAGGAAAAGTTTCATGTCATGTGGTTACACACACGTGTACAGAAGTCCAATGGTATTGTAATCTGGTTAAAATAAGGATAACTGTCAATAGTGTCATCTGACATAACAGTCATATTGAACATTTGTAAATATACCTTATCACCCAATATAAAGCAGTTAGACTCAAACTAACAAGCTACTGAGACCTCAGCCAGCTTATAATGAAACAAGCTAACATGAGTGCAGGCCTCTCAAAAAAAATGGAACAAAGTACAGTATCCACACACTGGACTCCAGGTCATAAAAAATGTATCAGCCTGAAAAAGGCAAAATTTCAATGAAAAACATTTCTAAATATATAAAACAAAATCAACAACATACTGAAGTGGATGTAATTTTCTTTTTTTTTCAGATAAACAACCACTTCATTCCTGAACCAACTGAAATGGGTTTGGATAGCCCATACTGGCTTCAAGAGCAAGTCAGTCCCCATAAACCCTCTTGTTAAAAAGCCCAGAAATAAACATGTTTACAACCTGGTACAAAAAATGTTTTTGCTCTCTATAGCTAATTTCAACATTCATAATAACTGTAGACTGGATACATTTTTATAGAACTCACACATTTAATGGTTTTAAGGATTAAATTGTGCATAATTATGGGCATGGCTGTTTTGTGTGACATGTGCTGTCTGCTGACAAGTTGCTACCATGGCAACAATGTTGGTTAGGAAATCATGGCGTAACCCCAGATTCACAGAATATAGGCATGTCCTTACCTGTCTCTATAGACTGAATTACCATGACGTTGCTCTAACAACAACAACAACAACAGCAACAACAACAATCAGTTAGCATCAGCATTAGCATTATCACAGTGAACCATAGCTGTAAATACACCATGCTAACCAAGGTACCAGCTAGCATTAGGGTTAGCTCCACCTTCTCATCAAAATAGGGTCACTTCTGGCTCCAAAAATCCAAGATGGCGACAGCCAAGATGCCAAACTCGAGGCTTCAAACGGGAGTCCACAAACCATTGGGTGGCTATGTCCATTTTTTATGCAGCATATAATGTATACTGAGAATGTATGGCAGGAGGGTCACACATTTGACCGGTAACTTGTGGCCAAAGTTACAATGTCTGAAGGGTGATACAGCCTGAATGAAACACAAGTATTATAGTATGTTGGTAGCCTCTTCACACTGTCACTGTTTTCTTAAGGCTATGACGACTTATGAATAAATTGTAACGTCATGCACTTTCCTATCATATGTAGTACAACTACTCCTGCATGTTGCTGAACTTAATAATTTTCTAATTATGCGGCTAATAAAGAGGAGACACAATATGAGATGAGAGGAGGAGGAAGAGGGGTTGGGTTGGCTGGTTTGTGAGGAGGTTAATGTGAATGAGTGGTGAGAAGAAGAACAGAGGAAAAGAGAGGGATGCACTCGTTCTTCAAAGTGAGACATCAAAGAGGAACCTCCTGCGGTGAGCTGAATTATTAAAACTCTGCTGCCATCTTGGAAACCAGCCCACATTACGCTACATGCATGCATCTATCTATCGACGAGTCTATATTCTACTCTTTACATGGATGTATAGCAAACTGGGGATACGCCCAACAATTTGAAGTTCTTCAAACCCAGTGTGGCATATTGCTATCGGCCCCTAAATCCCATATCAGTTGGTTCCCTTCCTGTCAGGTTATCTCTATATCCCTCTCCTTCCTCACTCTATCCTCCTCTCCTTCTCTCCCTCTTTCATCTCTCCCTCCATTAGTAGGTGTTGATTGATCAACAGAGGCCAAGCCAGCAGGGTTCCACCCATGCTGTGCTGTGGTCTACACAGGCAACCAACTATTTGCCTGACTGGAAAAAAAAAGTATGTGTGCATGTGTGGCGATGCAGGGTGGTGAGAGAGACAGAGAGTGAGAGGGGGGCTCTGTAGAGAGAGAAAGGAGCATCGAATTTTCCTGCTGTGTTAAAAGAGACAGCAGTGAGGCTTTCTCACACGGCTTTCTAGATGAGTGTGTGTGTGTGTGTGTGTGTGTGTGTGTGTGTGTGTGTGTGTGTAAATGAGTACATTTCATTTTCATTCATTACATTTAATCTCAAAATCTAAATTCTTACACCCTTACCACACCCACTAAGGGCCCTGGCACACTGATCTGACCTCAAAGACCTAGTCCCACCAAGGTCAAACCCATTTGGCTCATGCCTTCACTTGCACACCATATTCATTATTCAAAACACATTGGTGGAAGACAAAACAAACCTGCTGTCCATTGTAACACCCCTGTGAATTATTTTAGCTATCACATGCTTGAAAACAAAATTGAGAAAATGTGTTTTCAGCATGTTTCTGCTTGTGGAAGAAGAAAAGATGCGAAGGAGGAAAATAAATAAAGAATGCCCCAAAATGGTGAAATGACTGATTCGTTAGACTGACTGCTCTCTGACGCTGACTGCTTCTGCTGCTGATTTAACAAGGCGAGTTGGCTGAGAGGCTGCTGATAAGGGCAGACTGAAGCCAACTGTGCTGCAAAACCTTCAGGTGTGGTCAGCCAAACACGGCCTAACCGTGCCCAAGCCCGAAACAGCTAACTGTTGAGTTGGTGTATCAGGGCTCTAACACACACACACACACACACACACACACACACATACACAAACACACATACATAATTATGATAACAACAACAGCACTTTACTCTGTGATGATGGATCTAATTGATGGATCTTAATACACGCTGACAGCCACACATGCACACACAGAATAAACAAGGGTTAATGGCAGTCAAATAATAAGTGACATGCATGCACACAGCATGTATAATGTATGAAGCAAGTTGAATAATGACTGTAGGTTGTCAGCACTGGAAACCAGTATAATAAATGACCAACAGCCACTCAGTGGAAAACACTCGCAGTTTTTATAGAAATAGTTACTCATGGCCAAGGACAAATGTGGATCTTTCAGGTTTAAAAATCTGTCTTCTTTCATTCTGTACCAGTGAATGGCTTTTTCCTCATCTTTACTGAAGACAGGGGTACATGTGAAATGAATTGGCGATAAAAGTCTTCTGAATATTTTTAATTCACCACTGTTTCATTTATCATGTATTTGGAACAGTTTCTGTAAATAAAGCCTGTTATGTGAGAGGTACCCCAAGGTAGTGTACCTGTCCCCATATCTTTCTTAATTAATGGCATTACTGATAACTAATTAACTTCCACTTCTTATATACTAATGTTTTACATTTAAATAGTAAGACAAAATATATTGTTGCATCTTGGGTTTATTGTCGTCATGTGAACACTTGCGACTGAAATCTCTGAATGCAACTTATGATGATAATTCTTACATACATTTTTATTTTAGACTTTTCTCTAATGAAATGGTCAAATGAGAGAAAATCAATTTCTGACTGAACGTGTCAGAACAGGCCCTCACACCAAGATGACGGTCGGCCGTCGGTCAATGGTGGGCTGTCAGTGAGCGTCAAGTCGACCTGGTGTGTCCCCCACAGTTGCCTCTTGTCACTCCTTGTCTCCTCTTGTTGGCCATTTCTTTTAGAAAATTCAGTAAGTTGAATTGGCTTTGCCAATGGCACAGCCCGTTGTGCATGAAATCCCTCTGATTGGCAGTTCAGCCCATGAAAAGAGAAATTGAAGTTGGGAAACAAAGAGCTAAAGTCAAGAGGGAGTGAGACCAAAACATACTTGTTTCACTATCAAATAGCTGACAGTAAATAAGCTTTGTTGTTTCAACATTGAATTGTGCTGTCAATGTGCTAACTGGCTAACTAGCATCAAGACGGTCTTCCGGTTTCCCTTTTTAATGACAAATACAGACTTCTGTCGTCTGCTGATGCGGGGAGTTATTACTCTCATACAGATGCAGAACGAACCTGCTGGTTGACAGTCGGCTGTAGTCTTTACGGTGTGTTTACGCACAACCTTTTGGCCGGGATACGGCAAAGTCAGGCGACACAGCAGACGATCTTCGATGCCGCTAGTTCTCTGAAGTCAGTTTGGTGGGTCTGGGCCGTCCATGACATGCAATTTGTGTCAAGGGGTGGGTGTTGCTTTGCATGAATGAGTCATCAGCAAAAAATGTAGAAGAACCACTGAATATAAGACATTAGTAGATCCCCTCTTGCATACTATCTGGTACAGTCATATATTAAAACA